CTGTAAGAAAATATCAGAATTCGGAACATACTTTCTGTATTATCTTTGCTTGAACTAAGCCAATCTAATCCTGTTTATATGAATTGAACCTGCTCCCGATCAGGTTTGACCTAGCAGAACTGTTGATATGACAACAACTCTCGGATCAGCTTTGAAGAACGAAACGATCCTGGATCGTGTCAAATCGTCAATATCCAAATCCAGCTAACTGAGTAATCCACGTACGAAGAACGGACCCCAGGCAAACTGTCTCCGATTTGAGCCAGAAAAGAGGCAACATAAGGCTGGGACACACCACACCAAGTTGATACGTTCACATTGTAACTTCTTATTTTTTGCCTGGGGGGTGGGAAAAGTGGAGAATCTCAACGATCAATCAGTTCAACTGATCACCAGTTCATTTCAGATGTTTTACAATGTGCTCAGCCTGCTGGTTTGTCCATTCACACACATTTATATCATCACATGATCTCTTAACAAAATCACATGTCCTTTTTAATGCGCATACTGGAATTTTTTCAGTAAAAGTGTTTCCTTCATAGTTTATGTGCATCTTTTCTTATTGGGGTTGGTTGGAGTTAGGACAATTCTAAGCACCCACACAATATTGGGGCCCTCAGAGCAGACATTTGTTGGACCTACCACCCATATCATCCCAACAACATTGTAAAAATGTATTTTATCTGAATGTTGTTGGTGATAATAAAATGCTAATTATATTGTGATGATTTTTTTGACAGCACTCTTTCAGACTGGAAACACATAATAAATGCATATACACAAAAAATTGGAAGATGGAAGGTCTGTACAGGAAGCACATTATCTCTTTGCTGACTCAACCGGTGTCACCCGTTATTGTTGGACTGGAAACAGTGTATGAGAGACCGTGAGAGAGTTTAAATGTGGTTAACATATCGTTCAGCAGGGAACAACTTCCCTTAGGCTTACATCAACAGATTTCTGCTGGATCAGGTCGAATTGGTGTTGAAGCAGGGTACACTTACAAAAACAGTTGATTTTGGAAATTTTGTTTAGGATTTCTCAATGTTAATGTCTTCCAGACCCTCAACCCTTTTCTGATTGTACTTCAGTGTTTCAGAGTAAAGACAAGTTTTGATTTCACCAGCTTGGCCAACCACTTTCACAACACATATAAGGGCTTTCAGTTGATTAAACATTTTAGTGAAATTAATTTGCAAATTTAATTGCTGTGCAAGTCACAGAGTCAAACTTGCATTGCTAAGAGAAAAAAGCAGATCAATCATATTAGTGGCTAAGTCACATTTTATAATAGAACCGGAATGGTGGTTTCAGTCTCTTTTTTTTCTAATGGCTTTCTAGAGTGTTGCTAGGCTCTGTTGGGTGGTTTTAGTTGCTGATATAGTCTAGACCAGGGGTGTCCAAACTCTGTCCTGGTGGGCCGGTGTCCTGCCGAGTGTAGTTCTAACTTGCTTCAACACACCTGCCAGGAAGTTTCTAGTATTTTATCTTGATTAGCTGTTCAGGTGTGTTTGATTAGGGTTGGGGCTAAACTCTCCAGGACATTGGTCCTCCAGGACTGAGTTTGGACACCCCTGGTCTAGAGTGCTGTATAGTATTTTGGCAAGATTCTAGGACGGGGGATCCAAAGTTTAAGCACCCCTTTGTTGGGTATACATTGCTGTTAACTTATAGTGGGTGACATCAGGATCTAGAGTGTCTTAGGGCCTACTCACACTATGCCATCCATACCATGCCCAGGCCTGTTTCCCGGATCGTTTGAGAAGTGTGAGTGCGCTGAATCGGGCTTAAGCACGGTTCACTTGGCCGGCCCTGGCTCGGTTGGAAGAGGTGGGCCTGAGCGCGGTTCACTTGGGCTTTGGCACGATACGCTTGTGTGTGAGTGCAAAACGCGACAAAGCCCGAAACTGAAAGTGAGACGTGACTTTTAAGGGTTTGATATGGATTTATTAATCATTCTTACTGTTCAGTGAACGCAAACTGCCGTAGCGGCTTCAGCAGACCTCCTCATTCCTGCAGCACGAGGGCTTTATGATTGTTTATGAGCGGCAAAGTGGCGGATCTGTTCGGCGAAATATCTGACTGCGAGTCACCTCATCCCTAAGGACTGTTTGGCGAAATATTTAACTGCATGTCACTGCATAACAAAGGACTGAAACAATATAACTAGAGAAATCTCCACTGTGCTGCTGAGTGAGAGAGCGCTTCTCACTGAACGGTGCAGAATTGATGACGTAAGCGTGCCGAGGCCCATTTGTGGTGTGAGCGCGGGCCGTCGGGTGAGACGGGAGGGGGGACAAGCATGCTTTGGCCCGGTTCGAGGCAACTGTACCTAGTGTGAGTACGGCCCTACATTCTACATTATAGGATGTTACTATTTTGTACTGTATGCTTTTAGGTGTTCTATGTGGTTTCTCTGGTTTTGCAATGTTGTCTTGTATTATTTCTAGTGTTTAGCAAGTATGTACTTTGTTGAATTCAATGTGTTGTTAAATTGCAGGCCAGGTGTTACTAGGACCTTCCAACTAGAATTTGGGGTGTGGCTATATTATAGGGTGTTGCTAGGGTGCTGTTGCTAGTGTCTAGGATGTGGATTGTTGTTATTCGAATGTACTAGGTAGTTTCTGTATATTGCCAGTGTGTTCTGGTTAGAAAATAGGGTGTTGCTATGATTTTCAATGTGATTTCTGGGGTGTTGCTATGGTGTCTGTGCTGTTTCTAGTGAATTGAAAGAGTGTACAGGATGGCTTCAGTGTGTTGCTAGATTGTAGGATATTCTGGTTAGACCAAGGGTGGGCAAACTTAGTCCTGGAGGGAGTAAGAGAGAATTTTCTGTGTAAACTCTTGTGTTAAAGGGGTGGTCCACAATGTAATTTTAAGGCTTTGTTGTGTTTATAAGATGCAAAGCAATGTGTGCTTATGTTTCACTTGAAGGAAATCGCGTTATTTTCTCATATATCTCAATTTAATTATACACAGCTACTCAACTAACATGAAAATGACTGTCATATTTCCTAGTTCCTTTGAAAGGCCCGCCCTTAAGTGACTCTGATTGGTCATTGTCATAATGAGCTGCTATTCCCGGATTGGCACCACGTCACGCCCGTAAAAGCATGCGCTTTTCTGCTGCAGTCAACCTCCTGCCTGCTCTAAAATAAAATCTGACAAGTGTCTGTAACGAGTGAAAATGAGGTGCGGCTCCTTTAAGAGTTTGCCATTGTGTGTGCGGTGTGAATGTTGTCTGCGTCAATGTGGGTGTGAATGTGTGAACTTTCTGTAACAAGCGCATGTGCGCGGTACTTTCTTTTTCTCTGATGCTCGGATTAAGTTGTTTTCTGTAATATATCGTGACAGAAGAATAAAGCACAAGATGTGGGATGCTACCTGTTGAGCCTTGATTTATTATTCTGCTGCGACCACGAGTCAGGTAAGCTAACCTGTTTTTTTTTTTTTTTAACTCTATGCATTACACGACGGCTTTCACGTGTATCCGGAATATGCAGGTGTAAGTAATATGAATCATCCACATATCTTTTGCAACTTCATTATCTGAGATGTGAAACACATGGAAAAGCTGCCTGAAGACAATCAGTGCAGTCCACACACATAAGAGACACGAACGTGCTGGTGGAGTGTGTGTGTGTGTGTGTGTTTACAGCAGTTTGTCTGATAAATATGAATTTGTAGCTCAATTATTTGCCCGCAAAGCAGCATTTCCCATTGTTTACATCATTGCTACAGCGTATCGTTAACGCTAGACACTGTACATGTAACGATCAATTTTAACTAATAAAAACACTTACTGGTTGTAGCTTATAGCTTCTGCTGAGGAGATTTTAGCCGAATCCAGCACTAAACTGGGAGAGATTCTGGAGCTGTTTTGTTAAATCATGCTTGCTGTGTATTTTAAAATTCTCTGGAACATAATTAATATTGAACTCTAAGCACTTCTGTCTTTGTGTTGTGTCCTTTGAAAGCCCAAATACAGAAACAGATGAAGCTCTGTAGGAACAGCCGTGTTTAGACGCATTTTTAGCTTCATCTCTGCTATAACGTTACATCGCCTCTGGCCACGGCCCTTACCTGCATGCGAAGTGTGGAATGCGCAGTAACGAACTTTTGTGATCTCACAGGGGGCGGAAGTATTTTTTGTAGTCCCCAAAATTCATTCATCGTAGGCTTTGCTAAGCTAATTCTGTAAAAACCAAGGTCTCCCTTTGCATTGAACTTAGAACTTTTTACATTCAGAGATGTTGTTTATGTTCACACAGCTACTTTACACATCAACTAAAGTTTCAAATATGATATCATAGTGGACCACCCCTTTAAGCTGTTTGCTTGGTGGTTACTTTGTGTACTGGACTTTGGTGTGTTGTTAGTTATGGCTAGATTATAGTTGTTGCTAGGGTTTCAGGATATTGCTCGGGTACTCTAGCAAGATTCTAGGGTGTCATCTTTTTGGTTTCTGAATAGTGTTTGTGTTTTCTGGCAAGAGTCTACAGTGCTTCTTTGTGTCTCGTGTTGCATTAGGCTTTTTCTTTGCATTAGGCTTTTTCTGCTAATGCAGAGCTTGCAGTTTTTAGCGTCCTTGTAAGTGAAACTACCTACCATGCTGGAAATTCCAGTTTAATTCTCTACAATAATGCATAAAACAAGGTTTACACTTACTGTAGCTAAAATAAAAGTTTGTAAGCCTACAGAGTCTTTGCTGGGGGAGGGGGGGAAATCAGCTTGAATCCTCTGCTTGACCAGTTGATTTAGCAGGTTTTTTTGCTGGTCTACCAGCTTTGAACAACTAGAAGACATTATTTTCCAAAGCACATCAGCTATCATTTCCAACAGGATATTATTTGGCCACAGGGTTGTTTAGGTCAATTAGGCACTGACCTAATTAATTTCTAAGTAGAAAGGAAAATTATTTGTAAGAGCTGCTCACAATGTTGGGTTTCTCAGATTTTCTGAAGAAGCTACAGCCTTTTACAACACAGCCCAGACAAATGTAGAGACAGTTGAAAAAACATTTATTAATTCCAAAATAAAATGCACTCTTAATGCATGGCTTAAAGAAAAAAAAAAGAGTGCAAAACATCTAAATGCATGTTGTCCATTTTGTCAATTACATCTGATTTTAATAAAAAAATTTAAAACAGTTTAAAAGTAAATCCTCCCACTCCAAAAACATGATTTCAAGACAAAAATGGCATCATATATGAGAGTAAGAAAAAGGTTCTAAACAAATTGATCACTTATCTTTCTTAGAAGCAATTCTTTTAGAGCGGCGCAGACCAGCAACATCATCTGCTGAAGCCTTTATGCCGGTGGTGAGTTTGAGAGTTTTGGAGTCTTTCATGGTAGCAGGTGGTTTGAGGGGGTTTGAAGGGGTTGCAGTGGATTTTGGGGGTTTAGGGACAGCTGAGGGTTCGGAGAGTTTGGGGGCAGAAGCAGTCCTGGAAGATTTGGAAGGTTTGGTGGCAAAAGCAGCTCTGGAAGATTTTGAGGGTTTGGGGTCAGAAGCAGCTCTGGAAGATTTGGAGGGTTTGGTGGCAGAAGCAGCACTGGAAGATTTGGAGGGTTTGGTGGCAGAAGCAGCACGGGAAGATTTGGAGGGTTTGGTGGCAGAAACAGCACTGGAAGGTTTGGGTCCAGAAGTGGCTATAGTTGGTTTAGAGGGTTCAGGGGCAGAAGCGGTGCTAGAAGAATTTAGGGGAGACAGAGATCTGGAACATTTGGAGGGTTCAGGTGCATAAGTGGCACCAGAATGTTCGGCACTGGAAGGTTTCGGGGCAGAAGCATCATTGGAAAGTTTCAGGGCAGAAGTGGCTCTAGAAGTTTTTGCGACAGAAGCGCCACTTGAAGGTTTGGTGGCAGAATTGATACTGGAAGGTTTCGTTGCAGAAGTGGCACTAGTAGGTTTCGTGGCAGAAGCAGCACTAGAAGATTTTGTTGCAGATGCGGAAGGTTTAAGTGCTGGATGGGTTTTATTGGCATTAGAGGCAGCAGAGGTTTGGAGGCCTTTTCTGACTTGCTGCAATTGTTTAGCTGGCCGTAGTGCCTCCTACATAAGTAAAAAGCATATTCATTCACCAATATTTGGAAGATAAAGATTACAGGCCCTTTCACACCAGTGAGATGAACTATATTAATGTCCACAACAATGTATGCTTCAGTTCTGTCAGTTTAAATGTTAAAAAAGCTATTTAAAATTGATGATTAGGGCTTTTGCCCCAGTTAGTTATAGGAACTCAGTTACAGGAATCAGCCCCCAGGCCAGTCTCTAAATTTTTTTGGGCCATGTTTTTGGTTGCAACCTACTCTGAAATACAAGCCAATTAAGATTCCCAAAATGACATTCGCAGAATGGAAATCCATCCTCCATTAACACAAGTATGCCTAAAGTGAGTATTTATGCCAATTGTTTAGGGATATATGAAAATATTTCTCCAGGGTAAAATCCCCTTTTGACAGGCTGCCTTTTTTCCTGATAAAATAAAGATAGAATAAATTACTTTAAAGTGACTCCAACCATTTTTGTCTGCTGTTCTTGGTTTCTGATTGGCTGCCAATGCAATAAATCCTACACCATTTGTAAAAAAATAGTTCTAAATTGTTAATATTATAATTGGGGTGTGGACTTTACTTTTATGGTTGCTAATAAATACTACAAGGTCGTAGTTATAATCTGTATTGTGAATGGGCCTCAAGTCTTATTCCGTTTGAATGTCTAAGAATTGCTATGGGTAAAGTCAGGTAAGAAGTGGCAAAAAGTGATCAACTAACCTCTTTACCAGACAGTTGGGATTCCAGAGCCGCTATTTCTGCAGTCAGTGTATGTACGTTTACCTTTACAGAAAAATGATAATCTTCAGTGCAATACATTAAACAAGTGGCCGTTTAATATAAGAATGGACTCATGCTGGCAATCACCTCGATTTGATTGATCTTTTCCTTATAGCTGTCAATGTCCTTCGTGAGTTGCTCCTCCTTTTCTCTGCAAACAAAAAATATTGAGCATTTATTCCACTGAATGAAAATTAAAATATATTGAAAATTGTTAAATGAGTTTTAATCATTTTGATCATTTAATAATTTAAAAATTGTTAAACGCTATTTGCATTTGTATTAAAGGGTGCATAGTTTACCATTTTTTATGATTTCATATTAATATTATGGTTCTTCTGAGTGTGCCAGTTTAGGTTAAGTTCAACACACAGTTCAGATGTTTTTATTATAAAGTGTTAAAAAGTGTCATGTTAGGGCGAGTACACAGTGGCGTAGCGCAAAATGCAGAGGCCCCCCTGCAGGGATCGCTGACGGGGCCCCCTGATAAAGGGAGGGGGGGGGGGGGGGGGTATGTCATACGTCAATTTGCATATCACTGGCGTCATCACGTTCTACCGTTTCTGTTTAACAGCCTATGGTTAATAAAGGGGTATTTATAATTGCACTACACTTTATGTAAGCATGTTTATTTAACTAAATTTATTGCTGTTTGAATACAGTATGTCATTATAGATATGTAGTGAATGTGCAGTAATCTCTCATATGTAATAAACTCAGACAAGTTCAGAAACTGTCACTAATATCTGTGATTGTGAACAAGAAAAGAATAAACGGTCCAATTAAATTGTTAAAATAAAGTAGAAGTAGATCGGTTTGACTGTACAAGGGAAATACCTTCACACTGCCTGTGCTAAATTATTTGTCGTCGGTACGCAGAGGGGTGATCTGCTCTCGGGCTGCAGGTGGGAGAGGCTGCTGTAGAGGACTGACTGGGCCGCCTGTCAGTGCTGTGAGGCGGGGGAGGGGCCGGCGGCATCACACGCAGCTCGTTGAGAAGAGTAGGGACGGTACAATATGGACAAATGACAGTCTAAAAAAAATCTCCAATAACACACAAAAAAAGTCGCTAGATTTGTCGCTAAGGGGGTCTGAAAAGTCGCTAAATCTAGTGACAAAGTCGCTAAGTTGGCAACATTGGCGGCAAGCAATCAGAATGAAGCAGTCCACTGCTTGAGAGGTGTTCAGAGAACACAGACGTGTGAACTTTGGTTCCGACCACAGTTGTTCCCAAGAGTTTGATTATTGCGTTCGCCGGTGGATTTTTAATTATTGAAAATCACGACGACGCGGGGCCCCCTAATCACGCGGGGCCCGTCCGCTACGCCACTGCGAGTACACAGCTCGCTGTTTTAGGGATGTGTTGCTTTACATGAAAATTAGTTTCGGCTTCCCGCCCAATGTAACAAGGGGGCGGAGCCAAGAGCTCCCACGCTCTGTGTTTGCAACAGACAGGCAGACAGAGAGAAGCTAAGCTACATAATTACCATTCAGCCGTACATGTACGACTCGGACACAGACCAAGCAGAGGGTACAAAATCATTTGTGTCTTTGCATAGTTTTACAGCCAACTGTGTGCTAGTTTCAAGAGCCGAGCTTGTACACGAGACTAATAACCACGCAAACTGAATTAACTTTGACTGAGGCACCGGATGCGTCGCTCGAAGCCGCAAAACGGCACACCAGACACTCTCTGTGGCGCGGCAGAAACATGAAGAGTCCCGATCGTCGCGCCATACAGTGCCATGCATTTTATAATTGTAAACATAGGTTTCTATCAGGGTAAACACAACGGTGCTTCAAGTCAGCGGCTGTCCGCGGTGCCCAGCCGCCGACTTAAAACACTGCTGTGTGCACCCTGATAGAAACCTATGTTTAGAATTCTGAAATGCATGGCGCTGCGCCATGCAGAGCGGCGCTTCTGGTGTGCAAACTGCAGGCAAGGTTGACATTTCATTTGCAATGGAGAGACGTGCACATGAGGCAACGTGCTTGCACTTTTCCAGCTGCACTTAGTTAACCAGTTAAACTCTGCTGCTATTTTGGGATTTCCGCCTGGATTTTGCCTACCCAAATTTAAAAGCTTCCCAAATCCACATGCAGAGGTGTAAATGGAAAAATTTGGTATAATTTTAAAGAAAACCCTTTGAATTTTCATAAAACACTATTAAAAGGGTTTAAAATAACTGCATATGTTGTCTGTGTTATAATAAACACCTTAAAAAAGAGGCACTTTTTGTATTTTTTTTTATAAACTCAAATTTAAGTGTAGCTTTTTGGAACTGTGTGGTCTAGCATGCTGTAATTAATTTTGGTGGTTCCTGCACATGTCTGTAATCATAGGAAAAAAGAAAAATGTCTCTACCATAATCTATGCAAAAGTTATTGTATTCCAACTGATGAGTGGTGCTATACAAGCCACAGAGACTGATCATTGTTTTAATATTTCACTATTCTTTTGTTTGATCAAACTTAATTCACTGTGTTTGGACCACATCAGACATATAAAAGGATTACTTATGCACATCACCTTAAAAACAGAGGAGAATGGCCCTGAAGCACACATCATAAGGAAAGAGATGACAGCTGTCTGTGCTATCTGGGGTTGCTTAGTGATCAAAAATGTATTGTTTTCACTTCTGCGCCATGGAAACACCGCAATTCATTCGGCAACTGTTAGATATTTGAATATTATTCAGTGAAAAGAATGCTAGAATCATATAAGCACCGGCAATAACTTTCATTTGAGCTATAACTTGTAAATGTGTCATATGAAAAATATGAAAATGAACCAATGTAAAATACCTAGCTCAGGTATCCAAATTACTGTGTATTTCAGTGTAAATAACTTTTGTACAGTAAAATAAAAACCAAAGTGATACATATGTGCATAAAATATAGATTCTATACTTTTAAACGAAACCACTTACGGGGGTCTAGTGCAATGCTAGCCTTTTAAATCTTAAAGCGAAATTTGATGACATCACTGACCCGGTTTAAGTGGTTTAAGTGGTTAAGATCACACTCACAGGGAGCTTCTGTGATCGCGAGAAATGCAAACGGATGAAGTTTAATGTAGACGCAATGCAAAGTACACGTTTGCAAACCTACCAAAAGGTACAAACAATAATCCCTATTAGATAGATACTGTGGAGATAATTGATCTTGTGTTGAGCCCAATGAGCCGCAAGGGTGTTCCTTTAGTGATACCGCTTTGACTCACACGCTGAAAATACGTGAAACAACAAACTAAGGATATGGTGATGCGCCTGTCAATCAATATGGGTGGGCGGGGGGACCGCACTCCTACGTCAAGTTGCAGTCGATCTAAAAACCGTTCCAATTGGTCCACTGTTTTTATGTTGTTAATTTGAAAAAAGGACTGTGTGTGTTTATATCACCCCAATATGATGGTCTATACACTATATCTACACACATCTGTCTAAACAGCTTGAAAAGTAGATTTTTCACCATAGGTGCCCTTTAATTGTTCAGTCTATAGCCAATAGATGGGACAAACAGATGTATTCCATCTAGATCTAATACAATAAATTTAGCTTACTGAGCTTAGAGGTGTGTAACAGCCAAATTAGTGACTGAGCTATCTTACGACAGACAAAAAAAAATACTATAAACATACAGTGAAATGTGAAATCAGTGCACAGGATTAGAAGATTTAACATGCTTGCTAAAACATGTTGTCAGCCACTGTATCCTCAGGGGTTGAGAGAGGGTGGATTTACCATCTTTCCATAACTTTTTCACAACATACAAACTGTTGGGTTAATACTGTACCTCATTGCTTGTGCCTTTTCCAGTTCTGCCTTGAGTTTGCTGACCTCTGTCTTCTCCTCGGCTATAGTGCAGATCACATTAGCATACTTTAGCTGAGCAAGTCGAGCTTTAAAATCAAGTCCTTCCAGCTGACTGGAGTTCTGGGACCTCAGAAGTATTTTATAGGAAATCTGCTGCATCCGATCACACGACGGCACCTGAAACACCAGTACATACAGTAGCTCATGGTTTAAATCATATTGCGTTAAATCATATTACGAAAATCTCTTCAAATGCTCCCTCAGCGTACCTTAGAGAGCTCTGTTTGTATTTTGACATGGGCAGCAATGGCCAAGTCCCGCATTTGCCTCATTCTCTTCAGAGATTTCTGGACTTCACTTAACTCCAGCTGTAAAGCAGATTAAGATGAGATGAGGCTTAATCGATTTATCAGTAGGGTCGAAATAATAAACACATGCAAACACATCATGAATAAATGAGAAAAAGAGAAATGTGGCATGTTCAAAATAGCATAGGAACTCAACTGAAAACTCAATAAATCACTCAGAATTTCAACCCATCAAGACCATTAAACAACTCCACAAACAGAATCAGCAGCTTTACTTATTAGCCTACAAAGCTGTTTTGACTATTTCTGTCAGATGTCTACAAAAGTCTGTAGTAAGATTTAATTAAAAAAAAATACTTATTTGTTTTATGTCACCATTGTGGTATGTACTTCACTTTTTTATGTTTCTTTTTTTTTTTTGACTGCTGTAACTCTGTAGTGTGGGACCAAATACTTTCTACTCTTGTGATTTTGTGACAGTAGTCTGTTGGGGAAATTAATGTGTGTGTGTGTGTGTGTGTGTGTGTGTGTGTGTGTGTGTGTGTGTGTGTGTGTGTTTCCTCACTCTAAGACAAATGGATTAGTTCTATTTTTTTACATATTCATTAAATTATAGGATGGATAATTTACAGGGGGTTCATATCAAATGGTTTTTAATAAATAAATACGTTTTAAAAACAATAAATGCATTTATTGATATTAACTGATCTGTTAAAAGCATTTTTTTGAGTTAGAATGCCAAATGTTCTCCTCATTTCAAATTTTACATCAAAGTGTTCTTACAATTTATTTGCCCACCGACAAGTATAGTTGCCACATATTCAAATACGATATTCTTGAAAAAAAATTCAAAAACCTGGAGAAAATTAATGCAAAACATGTTCATATAGGACACTATTAACAAGGCTACATGCATGAAACGATTTAACAAAATTTGGGCACAAATGGGTTAAACCTTTTGGGTACTACAATTCACTGCCCAACAAAATCACGATCATAAATTAAAAATGATGAAAACTTTTAAAATGGAGTTATAAGTCATGAAATGAAATGATATTCATATCACAATAAATTTTCCAGAAAAACAAAATCCTACCTAGTTACTTCTCCGACACACAAACAGAGTTTATTAAGGTATCCACAACACATTAGTCCTTTTGTATTCTATTACTGAAAGATGTTTCAAAAAGTATTACTATAAAATTTTATTACTTTTTCTATGGTGGTTTGCATTAGTTTACACTATCCTCTGCTAACCGTGTCCAAAAACATGGTGGAACACAACTCCCCATGACGTAGATTCCCATTCTCTATATGTAATCTAACATAATAAAAAATTGACCTGCGCCTGTTGAACTTGCTTTTTCCTTTTGGTTTCATATATAAACTCCAGGTCTGTGTCTGTCCATTGATATCCCTGCATTCCTTGGATGAAGCTTTCGGGGTCAGCATTCCCAGTTGTTGCTGGACAGCCATGAAAGTAAATGTTAAAGCAATAAAGTGGTATTCCAAAAAAAACAGTGAGTGAGATCAGTGTAAATCTGATATTAGAAAATATAGAAGCATAGAAAAAAATTCTGTAACTGTAAGCTCTGGTGTCAGTGACCATTTGAAATCACCTGATGCAACTATTGAACTAGACCTCCTGATGGACTTCCCCTCATCTCGCTCTTCACTTCCATTCTGAGGAACAGGTTTAGCAATTTCCTTAGAAAGAATTAAATCATTTGGAAACATCATATAAATGATTCTGTATGAGAAAAGTATGATTATGACTATTGCTTTGTTTTATCTTAAGCAACAAAAAATGCATGCATATTTATATAACCATTTTTAATATTGAGTAAAGACAAGTTATTTTTCTTTAGCATTTACAAGCGTCTATGCCTGGAAATATAAAGTTGAAATATTGGTGAAAAGTTTCAGCTTATAATAAACATTTTTGCAAATATGTAAATATTCAGTAATTTTACTTTCCTCACTTTACTTTATAAAGCACAATGAAACAATAGTTGACCATTGTGCTGTACATTCATTGGGTTATAAATTATCAAAAGTAGAAAACAACAGATAAAACAGCATACAGTACAACCAACATAACGCAAAAATATTGAATGCACACAGCAGAAAGAAAGATAGGCCCAATAAGATCAATTTCCTAAAGTTTTTTCTAAGAGATGTAGTTTGAGTTTCCCTTTGAACAAGCATTTATAAGAGATTGTTTTCATATTAATTGTATGTAGATATTCATGTTGTGCACTTTACTGTGGTAGCTTTATGGAAATTTCATCATTCTAATAACAAAAATTTTATATTATGATTTTATTTTTGATACATAATAATGGTTAGAATTTTGTTCAGCTTGTGAGTTAAGGGACAAAAATATTTATATGCATAATCGGAAAAGAAATCAGCTTTATCCAAACCTTTACTAAAACTAATTAAGCTTATTTATTTTATTTTTAGACAAACTGTTGATACAATACCTATAAACCTTTACTACAACCTTGTTTAGTTAGTAGCCAATGACAATTGTCTTACTATATTTGCTAACTTAGAAATAATGGCCAAAGGAAGTTTAAAAAACGGATAATACACACACACACACACACACACACACACACACACACAAAAAAAAAAAAAAAAATATATATATATATATATATATATATATATATATATATATATATATATATATATATATATATATATATATATATAATAGCAACATCATATTTTAACTGTCAAAGTCATTTTTATACATTTTTGTGAGTAACACGGTTGTGTGTTTGTTTACCTGAGCACGTGGCTCATCTTTGACCGCTTGGTCTGCTGTTGGAGAAGCGTCTGGTTTGCTGAGCTGGTGTATTGTGATTCTTTCGCTCTTACATGGAGGTGTTCTTTCTAACTGTCGCCCTGCAGGTATAATATTTGGATGATTTTTCTCGATTATTGACTGCGCTAAAGAAGGCGCATCGTCCAAATCCAAATTACGCACATTTTTGGTGCGTTTAACCTTTCCTCTCTTCGAGCTCATATGAGCCGCCGGTGTTGTTTAACTCTTAAAATATACAACTGAAGTTAGCTGAAGAACAAGGTTACAAAACCCGACTTACTTTTAAACTGCAAGCAATTGTAAAACTAAGCTTCGAGAGGAAAAAGTGTTACTTCCTATCATGAGCTGATCCGCGGTAAAGTTAGCGGCCACAAGATGGCAATACTAAACAGCAGCTACTTGGCGCTCCTTTATCTCCGTTTTAAAACATATACTTTGCTAGGTAATTTAATTGTATTAAATTTGTGAAAATTATCAACTGGTGTCTCTGTATCGAAATACTGAATTACTTTCATCCTTACTAAAGACTTCTCAGACAGTTGCAATTAGATTTTGGTTAACCGCCAGGGGGCGATCAGTCATTTCTCTGGCTAAAACACAGTATTTACAAAGTACATATTTCAGTCACAAATCATTTAAAAATTATGCATACTTTTTCTTGTGTTGAACATTACAGATGTTTATTTGCTGAAAACTTTGTGATTTATTATATCAATTCAATATTATAACTTGTGACTTACTGGCTGAAAAGAAGTGGATCATGTTGTAAATAATGTTCACTTTCTTGCATATCAACTGTTTTCCTACACAAGACCTGAATTAACTAAATGAATAATTTTGTTTTGCTTGTATGTGACTCTCAATGAGCTGATAAATGTTGACTTGTATTTTATTAATAAAAAAAGTCTTAATTTAATGTCTTATTTTCAGCCCAAAAAGTTATTTAATGTTTTTCTGAATGTTCTGTGTATTAAAGGCATAGTTCACCTAAAAATAAAAAGTCACTCACTATTTACTCATCCTCATGTGCTTACAAATCTTTTTGGTTTTCTTTTTTCCTGCTGAACACAAAAAAATAGGTATTTTAAAGAATACTGGAAACCTGTGAACATTGACTTTTCTAATAGAAAAAAATAAATAATATTGAAGTCAATGCCTACAGGTTTCAACATTTCTTTAGTTTCTTTTTTCTTTTTAGTCTAAAAGAAGAAAGAAATTCAAAGTAAAAATGAGTAAACAATGACAGAATTCATACCCAGTAAAAAAAATAATCCTGTTTGCCTTACATTTTTAAGCTGAATCAAATTAACCTTATGAGTCCATTGAACTTTTATTGTGTTAATCTGACTTAAAATAGCTTGCGTAACTTAAAATTAGGTTAGAACATGATTAACCTATTTTAACAATGTTACAATGAACTTAAACTTTCATTACTAATTGATCATATATATTTTTTTACAGTGTAGTTTTACTATAAATAAAAACAACAAGAACACTTATTAAAACACATATAGGTTAAACATGCCATTTTTAGTAACTCTACATCGTAATCAATATGCCAAATAATCAATAAAATTAAATAAATAATTAAAAAACATGGTTTGCACAATTATAATATAATAAAACCGGTTCATTTTTAATAAGGAATTATCGAAAAGTTTAATAGCATTTAAAAACAGTCGATATTAGGCATGGGACGATAATGGTTTTAAAGGTATACCGCGGTTTAGAAGTCAAGGTATTGAAAACGAAAAGATTTTCTGCTACACTGTTCCTAAGGTATGAGTTAGATTTTTTTATTTACGTTTTTGTTGTTGTTGTTGTTGTTGTTGTTGTTGTTGTTGTTGTTTGTTTTTAGGACAACAGTTTCTCCAGCAGAAAAGATATCCAAAGATGCCGTTTTAAATTGTAAAGAAATCTGTGTTTTTGAAACTAATGAAGACAGCAGAAGTCATTAATTCATTTAAATGATTTTTTTAATATGAATAATGTTTAATGCTCCAAAATATTTTAAATGTTTCTCAAAATAAAATATATTGTGTTCAAATGGGAAAAAAAAACGTTGGTTTTTATCCAAACATTTAAAAAGAATATATTTTAGAGCAGTAATCACAATACTGTGAAACCAAGATATTTTTTATCCCGTTCTGTCAGAATCTTAAACTGGCCCATGCCTAGTCGATATACAGCTATTAAACTTACAGGTATCCTCAATGGGTTTTTTTCTGACATTGACACATGTGAAGGGCACTAAGAAAAAAATGTAAAACAGAATTATAACTTTATTGAAGACAACTGAACAACCCATTAATACAGAAACACAGCAGAAAACAATGTACATTATCTTTGTACAGGATGTCATAATACAGCAATTTCACAAGCATATTAGAAATTCCGTTTGGTGCCTCTAGCGGGGAACTAACTGCAGCTTTAATGTTTGTATAAACTGCTCAAAACAATCACCATATTATTTCTCTTACAATCCACATTGTACTGGCGTCTTTGTATAAGTGACTGTAAGTGAGAAAACTCACAGGTGTCTCTTTCGATGCTGATGGGAGTGCATCAGGAACTGATGGCTCCTGAATATCATCCAATCAGTTCCTGATGCAGTATCACCAACATCAGAAAGTTCTCATGCAGCTCAGGCTTCCAGCAGCGCCAGAGAAACTGAAGTGGGTGAACTAATAAATTATAAACATTCCATACCACAGTTTAACTTTTTTCCACAGGTTTCCCTCTTCTCTTTGATGATATTTTGTCTTGTTTTGCAGGTGCTGTGTGTGACAGAACCCCAGCAGCGCCTGTGAGAGGGATGAAAACACTACTCACAGTTGCCAGCTGAGATTATGCCAAAAATCAGCTGCTCAATAGCAGGTTACTCCAGCAGGGGGCGTACAGATGTTTACGGCCATAAAATGGTAACACTTTACTGTTTTAGCTCCATGGTACAGTTTAAGACGCATTTGATCATCTTTTCGTTAATTAAAGTTGTTATAGTAAAGTAGCACATTAGAGTATTTTACATTAGCATCGACGTAGTCTTGATGTATAAATCAGATTCTCGCAGGTTTTGGGTGTAAACAGACTGCTCAACCTCTTCAGGTCAATGTGAGACTGTAATCACATCACAGTTGCCTGCAGAGATTACCCAGTCAGTTTATACATCTTTAGCAGTTTGGCTGTGATGCTAGTCAATAACTAGCATAGGGGTTGAGTTTAAGGTGAGCATTAACAGTTAACATTAACTTGGTGCATATCAACCTAAAAACCATATGCAAAAAAACAAGTAAAATGCAAAATATTTATTGTTTAGTTTTTAGGGAGTAAAAATATGCTAAAGTCATAATAATGAAGTAGCCTAACAGGTGTTCTGTTTTGCAATAAACATCCATTCATTCATTTTCTTTTTCGGCTTAGTCACTATATTACTGCGAGGTCGCCACAGCTGAATGAACCGCCAAGTTATCTAGCACGTTTTTACGCAGCGGATGCCCTTCCAGCTGCAACCCATCTCTGGGAAACATCCATACACACTCATTTACACTCATACACTATGGACAATTTAGCCTACCCAATTCACCTGTACCGCATGTCTTTGGACTGTGGGGGAAATCAGAGCATCCGGAGGAAACCCACTCGAACGCAGGAAAAACATGATAACTCCACACAGAAACGCCAACTGTCCCAGCCGAGGCTCAAACCTGCGACCTTCTTGCTATGAGGCGACAACACTACCTACTGCCCACTTCGTCGCCGCCGAGCAACACTCATCCATTTTAAGTGTTTAAAAGTGTAAAAAAAAAAAAATAGGGTAGAGCTGTGGTTCGTTGGTTGTTGATTGGATTTTTTTTTTTAAAAATGCCTAAAAAAATAAAACAGACTAATATTTACATTTACATTTTTGTATTTTTTAAAAGTTTTCACATACAGATGATGAGTAAAAGTTGTACTCGGATTTACACGGATATGGTAAATAAAAAAGATTAAAAAAATAGCATAATCTGCAGTATTGTTTTCAAAAACTTGCACATTAAGACCTGTTTTTAATACTTTTTTCTTAAAACCCCCAAACACCATTTGTGTAGATAACTGGCCAAAAGAGTTTAAGTCCCCAAACTAATTCGTATTTTCATTTTCTTGACATTATTTCATGACATTTTCATGAGATGATTTCATGACATTTTCATGACATGCACGGCTAAATTTATTTTCTATTGTCACAAATCATCAGACATTTACCAATCAATTCGTAACTATGTTATGTTAGTAGCAAAATTAATTTTCTATTGTAGCATAGCATCAGTTAATCTCCTCTCAATTTGTAACTATTTTACGTTAGCGGCTAAATTTATTGTCTATTGCCACATACCATCAATTAATTTCTCAATACGTAACTATTTAATGTTAGCGGCTAAATTTATTTTTTATTGCCACATATCATCAGTTAAACTCTTAATTCGTAACTATTTTACGTTAGCTGCTAAATATTTTTTTTATCACCACATATAATCAGTTAATCTCTCAATTCATAACTATTTTTTTGTAAGCGACTAAATTTATTTATTTTATATTTCCACATATCAGTTAATCTCTGAATTTATAACCGTTCTACATTAATGGCTAAATGTATTTCCGATTGTCAAATATCATCAGTTAATCTCCTCTCAATTCGTAACTATTTTACATTAGTGGCTAAATTTATTTTCTATTGCCACATATTAACAGTTAATCTCCTCTCCATTCGTAAATACTTTACATTAGCGGCTAAATTTATTTTCTATTGTCACATATCATCAATTAAACCTACACAGTTTCATCACAATTCGTAATTTTTAATTTAGCAGCAAATATTATTTTTATTGTCGCATGTCATCAGGTAATCTCCTCTAAATTCGTAACTATTTTACATTAGCTGCTAAATTAATTTTGTGTTATCACATATCAATAGTTAATCACCTCTCAGTTCGTAACCATTTTACATAAGCTGCAAATATTATTTTCTATTGTCACATATCATCAGTTAATCTCTCAATTTGTAACAATTTTACATTAGCGGCTAAATTTATTTTCTAATGTTACATGTCATCAGTTAATCTCCTATCAATTCGTAACTATTTTCCCTTAGTGGCTAAATTTATTTTCTATTGTCACATATCATCCATTAATATATTCTCAAGTCATAAATATTTTACGTTAGCGGCTAAATTTATTTTCTATTGCCACATATCATCAGTTAATATTCTCTCAATTTGTAACTTTTTTACGTTAACAACTAAATTTATTTTTTATTGTCACATATCATCAGTTAATCTCTCAATGCGTAACTATTTTACTTTAGCGGCTTAATTTATTTTCTATTGTCACATATCATTAGTTAATCTCATATATATTCATAACTATTTTACATTAGCAGCTAAATTTATTTTCTATTGTCACATACATTCATTCATTCACTTTCTTTTCAGCTTAGTCCCTTAAATAATCTGTGGGGTCGTCACAGGGGAATGAACTGCCAACTTATCCAGCACATGTTTTAAGCAGAGGATGCCCTTCCAGCTGCAATACATCACTGGGAAACTATTGTCACATATCATCAGTTAATCTCCTCTGAATTTGTATATATTTTATGTAAGCGGATGCATTTATTTTCTATTTTCACATATCATCAGTTAATCTCCTCTAAATTAGTAACTATTTTATGTTAATGGCTAACTTTATTTTCTTTTATCACATTTCATTAGTTAATCTCCTCTCAATTCATAACTGTTATACATAAGCAAATAAATTTATTTTCTATTGTCACATATTATTTGTTAAACCTACAGAGTTTCAATTTGTAAGTATTTTACGCTAACAGCAAGTTCGTATGAATTTCTGACGTTGGACAAATTATTTTGTTTAGGGGTGGGGTCAGGGGCAGGCCTTCTCTCCAATTATCCCAACATTCTCATAAATAAGATTATACAAATTCATTCAAACAAACATGATACAGTTACATTATTCTGTGATGTCTTAAAGGAGATTTTTTTTTTTTTTCAAATGGTAAAATATAAATATTTTGATTTTGCTTTCCTCTATGAGACATTTTCTGCCTAAAAAATACAATTATATTAAATTTAAACAAACAACCTAATTTGTTAGTTTAAATTCAGATTTGTAGCAAAAGATTTAAAGTAAATTGGCACATTGCCACTTTAGCTCTCAATAGTCTTTAATATCACTCACAGTCAAAGTTGCAGTGTGCCGATTGTCTTTTGATCTTTTGCTATAAATGTTTAAATTATGATCGAGCACCTGCCTTTGAGATTTTCTGGATGTGCGCACATTTCTGTTTTTTGTTTGTTTAAATTCAGCTCATATAAATTGTTTGCAACCAGTCAAGTTAAATAATTAGTCAATCAAATGAATATTTTGTGTGTATAATGAATAATGCAAAATTTATAAAAAGTAAAATGGAATTTTTCCTCAACTTGTTTAACCTCATACTATTTTAGAAACAATTTCTGGCTTAGTCCTGAAACGAAACCAATTACGAACCAAATTTTTTACTGATCATAGTTGTTGTAATATTTTGTGTGCATATGAAGTGTGCCGTAAACAAACAGTCTAATCCGTTAAGGCCGAGAACGGACGCGTGAGGGGCAGTTTAGCCTCGCCCAGCTGGTGAGCTGAAGGGCGTCTCCCCAAGGCATCTGGCGTGTGTCCCCCAATAACCCCACACTCCTTCGACTACACACACACACACACACACACTCAGCAAGAGCGTGATCCCTGCTGCTATCAGGGCCCACCGGTCGCCATGGCAAACTCACAGGAACCTGAGCCTGTATTGTCCGAGCGTCCGATGTGTATGTCCCACTCGCTGTCGCTTCTTTAGAGTCACAGCCCGGGTCCTTTGACACCCCTGAACACTGCAACAAATTGAGAAAGACAGAAGAATGGAGTGAAGGAGAGGGAACGAGGGAGGGAGAGAGAGAGAGTAGCCGTTGTGTGTTTGCTAGACTAAGTCGTGTAGGCCAGATCAAAGGCCAGCTCCTCCAGAACTTGCAGACCTTTTTACAAAGCACGAGGGGCTTAGCTTTTGTGGGAGTTGTATGCTGGCCATTTCAACTAGTGGTGGAAAAGTGATTTAGTACTAAACACCTGATAGCCATCAAAGAAACGGGACAAGAAAAACGTGAGCACTTAAGGGTGTTTCGGTTTATCTTTAATCAAACTTACCTGAATTAAAAACTACTTATGCAGATTGAGTTTCAGCCATTATAAAGCATTTTGGGAAAATGTAATTGTACCAAATCGATTTACTGGGATGCAGTTGTAAAAATTCTAAATAATATGTTTGGTAGTTTAAGGTTCGAAGCATCAAAAAGTGCCATTGTTTAAAGATAATATGGTACGATTAAAGAAAGATATTAATATGTGTCTATATTTTGGTAAATTGTTACCTATTACATAAAAAAAAACTTACGAATGTAAATACTTAATACGTAAGTTGCCCTTATATATTAACCATGGTTCTTATCACAAATAATAAAAAAATGGTCTTGTAGTAACCACAACTGAACCATGGTTCTACTACACTAACTATTGTTTAACAATCGTTTGTAGAAAAACTGATTATACAAATACTATGCCAAAAAACGAACACTCTACTTTTAAGGATTTTGATCAAAACTAGGTCAACAACAGCCCATGTTGAAAATAAAGGGTTAAATGGCGAAAAAAATATGACTGAAAAAAGAGAGATGTTTTCTTGCAAATTTTGTTCAGCGGATAAGCTGGACGTATTTAGCCATGTTTCACCTGCTTCACGATTCATTTTAGATTTCACAACAGTAAAATCCATTATGTGTTTTTTTTTTTTTTTTTTTTTTTTATGAAACAAATACCTGCCCCTCCCATTAATTCCCTATTGGTGCATGTTTAACAAATGTCAATATTTTCTGAAATCCCCGTTTATTTAGAAGAATATTAGAATTTTTGCAATTACATTTTTCCACCATGCCCATTAGACGCTCTTTTGTATCCTTCCTTGTTACTTATTTTTCTCCAACCACTTTCCTCCCCCTTGAACTGAAACGAGATGTGTCAGTTGGCGGTCATATTCAAAAGGCTTTTACTGTACAATGGTGTTTCTATGTGAATTTGTTTGAGCTTTGAGTTGAGGTGGACCCCCTGTGCTGAGAGTGGTATTGTTAGGGAAAGGCTAGAACTTGGGCTTGACCAAAGGGTGCGTGTGAAGGGGACAGAGCCATTCCCAGCATCTCCTCTCACTGTAAGGCAACATCTCAAGACTTGAGTTTGCCCACAAACAATCGCGGCAGACTTGAGCAGGGATGACATTTTTATTTGTCACAGACCTAAAGTCCTAAATACTTTCCCACCAGGGGCAGAGGGTGAGAGGAAAAAAACAATTGGAAAAGTGGAACAGCTTCTCTGGCAGTGGTCGTGGACTGGGACCCCCCTCTGTCGTCATATTGTCTGCTAGAAAATTGAAAACAAAAAAAGACAATATGACCAAACCTTGACAGAAGGATCCATGGTGTTGCACTTGTCTCATTAATGAGGCCAGCTTTATTGTGTACTCTGAAGTCTTACTACTCTAGACGTCTTGGACGTTTTCATAATTAGAGTAATAGTCATCTTTAATTAGTGATAGCTTACGGAGAAAAGGAGGCTTTTGTGATTGGGCCCCCTGCCGGAATTTAACCACACTATAATCAAACAAATGTCCCAACAATTACAACATAACCTGTCGTTTATTTTGTACACAGTAACACATACTTGCACATTTACGCATTCACACTTTGTCTTGTGTATGATTTTAAAGCCGTTTTTTTCTCCCAGCTGTGTTGCGATACAATGTATCGATGTCTAAAACATATTATGATAGTAACATTAATGCATTAATTTAATTGCACTGCTATAAATTTGTATAAAAATAATTACACATTTTCCTAAAGTATATAAAAATAATAGTTAAAAAAACTGAAGGAAGGAAAAACACAGTGGATAGATTGTTTTTAAATTATTAATAATATTTAATAAAAAAAAAAAAATAAATAAAAAAAAAAAAATATATATATATATATATATATAATACATTAGTATTAGTAGCAGTGGTCAAGCTTTGCCTTAGTGTAGAATGAGCAGATGTGCTTGTACAGTAGTGGCTACTACTATCAATCAATGCATGCATTAATGCAATCAACTGAATTACAGGCGGTGCCATATGGGCCAGGGGCCCATGGTGACAAAGCACATTTTTGCTAAATAAAAACTCACTGTAAATGAAAGAAATTGACAAAACATACACTTTAAATTAAAATCATCTATTTTGAGGAATATATCATAATCGTAAAATTTAATCACTATTTTAGCAAGCACTTTTTTACTTCTAAATCCATCAGTCGAGCCCTGTCTGCACATAAATGTGCAACAGCGGGATTAATTTTGTATATTAATGTAAAGGCATCTTACCTTGCCTTTTCCTCAAAAGCGACAGTGCCAAGACGCCAGGGCCTTCTACTGCAAACACACACACGTGTACTAAACGCCTTTCAGCTCTCGGCGTGGTGAGAGCATGTGCTGCTAGCCTGTGAAATCCCACCCTATTTCTCTGATTGTAGAGCAGCCACGACTCTGCTTCTTCCAATGGCCCCCCTTCATTGATCTATGTTCAGCCTGCCTGATAGGCTTCCCACCCTGCAGGTCACTTTCTTCCTGTTTAACCATTGCTTGGTTTGCAAGAGCTGCAATCATAAGGAGAATTTTTTTTCAGATAGAGTGAGACAGATGGAGAGAGCACTTCCCTTTTCCCTCTTTCCCCTTGTTCGGTCCAGCGGGACAGGAGGAATGTAGTATGTTCGTGTTAAAGTGCACTGAGTGTATGTGGCCTGGTTCAAGAGGTGACTCTGTTCAGTAGGGTTATGTTTACGGTTATTCCACACAAATAATAATGCAGGCCATTCTAAGTTTCTGTTGGTGAGTTCGGGTTAATGAGATTACGCATCAGTTTTGACCATTTATGTTTAATTTGTATAGTAGATCTGCTTTATTTGGAGTTTTTGGAATTTGCATTTTAGTTTTTTTTATATTAGTCTTTTAAATTCAATTTCATAATGCCAAGATTACCCATGATTTTTGTTAAATCACTTTGATGATTAGCATTTTAATAGTGTTAATTAGTTTTTGTTGTTTGTTTTGTTTCGGTAATTTCCTTCAGTGCTACAAGATCAAAGGACACTTGTACCTCTGAATAGCAGAATGCAAATAAACCAAACTTTCAAACTATTAATTAAGGAATTGGAAATGGTCAATTTGACTTGTGCGAACAATTCCTATAGTAATTTGTTGAATTCAGAGGATATAAACGCGAAGTAGAGCGGAGTATGCAAAAGGGCATATTTCTGTCTGTACCTTGCTGTCATTATGGCTGACTATTTTAACACATTTTTCGCAAAGTAATGAATTTTAAATAAGCTCTACAGATGAATTAGTGATCACATTGCATGCCCATGCCTTTCGGTTTTCATAGCGAAGAGTGTATTAGATTAGAACTTTATAAAAACTGCACATTTTAGCAAAAATCGCAATGTTAATGTCAGCACCTGTAGTCTGAATGACCAGAAGATTATTAGTACTGTAGTAAAATGGCTGTATCAGTGAAGATGGAGGCTCTTATCGTATGCGGTGGCCCAGCCGGTGGCCTTCCCACACTACCATTTCTGCTCTTGCTTCATGTTTTAACATTTTGTTGGTCGCTATCACAAGGTATGGTTCAGAAACACCTGCCATTTTTCTCTTAGGACTTAGGGGGATGGAAAGTCGAAATCTACAGTGAACTGCAGTGCAACACCTACTGTACTATAGACTTTCTATTGCCATGTGTTTTTTTGTTTATGAAATTTTAACAGCAATATTACATTTTGTGAAAGTATTATCGGTTTACGAGGGAGGTTTGAGAATGAGATGTGCAGGTGCAGAAGCGCAGAGTGAATAATTTCCAGAAGGTTCACAAATCTGTCGGGTGGGTGTTGCCCTGCTCTGCCTCCAACAATTGGCTCGCTGCACCTAAGACGACACGAACATCTTTGAATGGCTTTAAAACCAAAAATACTTGTAAACAGCCTTCACAAAACATTTGACGTAAAACAAATAGCATAAACCAGAAGAAAATAATACAATTAGAAGGTAATTTAGGAATGATTAAAACACTTTTAGGTCTCCACATGGTGATATGAGATGCTTGTTTATTACATATTAAGAACATAAAAAGAGTCCTGCTCAGAATACGAAGAGGATGGTGTGAGGGGTGTATTGATTAGGTGTCGTTGGAGTCACGCTATAAGTGACCTTGGCCCTATCAGGGTTAAACTTATTACCCTCTGACTTCTTATGACCCCCCTGACCTTTGGTGTGAAAGCAAATAACGCTGAAAGATGACCATCGGTCAGGCCTCAATGGCTTCCTATTGACCAAACACACGCACACAAATACAGCGAGGGGCCAAAAAGGGCTTATGTCCAGAGAGGCACACTCCACAAATAATGCCATTAACCAATCAATACAAGAGACAGAAGAGGGGGTGGACACACTGATTTTAGAAACGTGCAGCCTGGAAATGCATTCTCCATTTAAGAGATTATGCATAAGTGTGCCATGCTAATATCTGGACTTTAAAACTGAACTTTGTTTGGCAGAGGTTTACCGTAAAGTTCTGTTAAAAAAATAAGTGCAAAAAAAATTGTTCACAAATCAATATCTGAATAATGGTGTTCTGCTTATTTTATGCACGTTTCATCGCTATGACAAGAGTAATGGCTGTGTAACAGGCAGCATGGTCAAATTATGTTAAAATATATCAATGTATTGAAGTAGAAAAAAAGAGTTGTGTAATTGAATTTCATGAAGTTATGATCAAGTGTGAGGAACAAAATATTTTGCACAACAGCATCTGCTGTTCACTGTGGAGTCAAAACATAAACGGTTGTTTACTACTTTACAGCCCAGAGAGCAATGCAGTGCATAAAATATTCAAGGGTGGATTTAGCCGATGCAACATTACCAATTTAGGATAATTAGTTGAACTAAAAGTGAAGTGGAAAATCTGCTTTTGCAATGAAATATGCAGTCTTATCCAACATTTATAGGTTCTATTTCATTAGTAGGACAAACAGAGTAAGATCACAGACAGCATCGCATTCACCAAAAAGTTCTTTTGAACATACTCCGATAGCAACAAGCCAAAGAGAACGTACATGAGAGAGAGAGAGCCGAAGGAAGAGGGGAAGAAAATCAGAAAGAGAGGGAGAGAGTACCTCGTGGATGCACTGCAGTGGTCAGCCAGGGTGGAGGAGAGAGGCGTGACGCCCAGGAGATGGAGGAATAGTACTCCATGCCTAGAGTGTTAGGAAAAGAGAAGGCAGAAGAGGAGAGGAGAAGAGAGGACCACTAGCTTTAGCCCTGCTACTGTTTTTGCCCTGCTGCCACTGGCTGAGAGCGAAGGGAGCATCTGATTGGAGGGTGGGGGTTCAGGCCCCTCCTCGTCATCCTCCTCCTCTCTGCAGTCTGCGTTCCCGCCTGTCAGGGTGAGTTAGCCGAGGGAAAGAGAGATGCAGCTCCCCACTCTACTCTTCTTTCACCCCCTCCATCATGGAAGGATGGCAGGTGGGACAAGAGCTGCTGGAATGACCACAGCTACCCCAACGCCCTCCTTTTCTCTCTTCTTTCCCTTACCAGACTCTTTCAACTTGTAGAGAAACTAATAAATAGCAACTACACAATATGACATAGCAAGGATACGAGACAGAAATATGGAGGCGAACTAAGAAAAAAATGACTGTGGGAGCAGCAAGAATTTCAGGGAGTTGGTGGATGAGTGTCAGCAGGTTGTCAGGCAATAACAAAGCAAACTGAGGAACACGTTACAGTTCACAAGAAAAGAAAAAGGGAAAAACAAAGGGATAGGAAGGAGAGAGTGGGGGCCCGACTCTTTTCTCAACTCATTCCCTGCATTTTTTTTTATTCTTGTTCCATTCTTCTCTTTCTCCATACTAATCATGGCGTCTTCGGTTGCTGCATTTGTCATCTGTATACGCCACTGGACATGCAAAGTATTGATTTTTTTTCTGTCCACCTTCTATTTGGCTCCTTGCTCTGTTTCCTACAATGTGAGGACTAAACCATAAAAAAGTAGGCCTGAAACTGAGAGGAAAGTAGGCAAGAGTGTAGCCAAATGTAAATGTTTAAAAATCTAACATTGAAAAACCCATACATTGATCACTATTCCTTTTACTTCTCTTCAATGTCAACGGTGGTTTTGGGCCCAAAGAGAGGCATCTGTTTGAAAACAAGTGGCAGGAGTATCTTAAATCTCTGCTACAGTCTCGAGAGGCAGTACAATGCAACATAAGTAAAGATTCACCCACTTGGCATAACATGCAGAACACAGTTTTTTTATTCCAAGACAGTAACTAGCCAAGCTCAGGGTGAAACATGATTGAGAGTTAGCTGTCATCAGATAAATTGGTGGCGTGTGCCATCCGCTCCAAGGGTCATCACAGTTTTTCATGACCAGAAAGAACTTCTTTGACCGCAACTAATGCTGTGAAGATGCAAGGCATTTTCTGAGGTGACCTCAGCCCGTGTCACCGTAACCCTTTTCCAATTCGCTTTCAGTGTCCTTAGTGTCCAGCAACCTTTAACCCACACGTGTCCCCACCCCCAGGCCCCAGGGGCCTTGCCCTGCAGAAGGGTTACGTGTGCCAAAGGTCCCAAGAGACTTAAACCCTGTTGTCATGGAGATAACCTTAGGGAAACAGAAGTCCCTTAGCAGTTACATAACACTCATGACCAAGCAGAATTTGGCTTTTTTTT